GCGAAAGATGAAGAAATAGAGGAAAAAAATCAAGAATCAAATAAAGAAAAATCAAGAATAAAGATAAAAATAAAAAATGTAAAAGATGGATGATTCAATTAAAGATATGAGAAATCTTGAATTGAATCCACTAGTCAATTTCAATTATAAATTATGAACCGTTCTCTTTTTATCACATTTTACTTTAGATTTATTAAGCATTGACTATCAAACAACTTAAGTAAATCATAACCTATCAAATTATCATCTAAGTAAAATTAACATTTATGAAAAGAACAACTAGATAGTAATTCTAGAATTTCTCCTACCAATTAGTTCTCTTATTGATTATCCTAAACATGATCATTTTAAGCACAATAAAGTAATTCATAATTCATAAAAGAAATTAAACTAGTTTCATGCAATTCTAGAATTTCTACAAGAATTAGTTCCATGTCTTAGAAAATAAAAATAAAGAATAAAAATAAAAACTAACTCCAAAGAAGGTTCTAGCCTTTAAGTGAGATAATGAAAGGAAAAAAAAACAAAAATAAAAAACTAATTCCCAAGAGAGTTCTAGCCTCTTGGTGAATAGTGTAAGAAAATAAAATCTAAACTATGCAAGATAATAAACCTATACTATAAAATAATTATAAGAAAATAAAGACATGAGAGTAAATTTACTCTACAAAGATTGAAAATAAATCTAATTCAAGAGAGTTCTAGCCCCTTGAATATATAAAGCAAGAAAAAATATTACAAAAAAAATAAAAAACTAAAAAAATAAATTACATTCCAAGAAGGTTCTAGCCTCTTGATGAAGACAAATCTTCATATTGATCTTCATCTTCATCTAATCTTCATCTTCATCATCAAACAAAGAGAAGAAAAGAAAAATATGAAGAGGTAAAAAAATTATTTTATTAATTACAATAAAAAGTTATAATTTTAGAATGTCTTTTCAATTAAGAGTAACCCTCCTCTCCAAAAGAAGTTTTTATAAAATTTTTCACACTCAAACCCCTCATCCTCCACCCCTATTTATATCCTATAGCAAGCAACAAGAACCATTAGATTTCACTTGGACTCCCAGGATTAAATCTTAGCCATAAAACAAGTTTGTTACGAACTAATTTGTCGGTCAACTGATTGGCCAATCGATTGACCAACCGATTGGAATTCAAATTTTTTAAAAATATAATTAGCTCTATCTCGTAGAGATAGGCGATTTTCATATACTATATGTTAAATTTTGCCTTTCGGATTGAGAGAGATCACTATTTTTTGTGGCTAATCATCGTGAACATGATTTTAATTTGATTTCCTTTCATATTGGATCCTTATTTCTTCAGCTTCTGTAGCTCTATAGCTTGATCCCAGGCTTTAATAAAAGGTTAAAAATAAGGAAATTTGAGTTCTTTTTGAGCTTTTATTCATTATTTTTTCTTTTACCTGCAAATTAAGGTAAAACATGTTTATTAGTGATATTTTTATTTAAACAAAAGAGATAATAAGAGTATAAAAATGTAATAAAAATATGATTATCAGTTATGTTTTCAGATTTGCCGGTAGCCGTTGCAATGGACGAAGCTTTTACTCACATTGCATTGTGCTTGTTCGATAAGATTCCAGCTGAATTATTTAGAGAAAATTTATCAGTTTTAGATTTCAAAAGAGGTAATACCAGATCTGGTCAAACCGGTGCACAGTATGTTGATAATATATGTATGTATTGTATTGCTAATTTTATATTCTAAAACCAAATCTATTTATTCTTAGGCTGGAGTTGCTGGAGGGAGTAGTAGCGACATGTAGAGGAGGGATGTTGATGAAGACAATGACTCGTGATTTTCTGTGGTGAGTTAATGATTTGTATATGTACTACTCTGATTTGTTTCTTTAAAATTTTATCCCTTTGTGGATAATTGTTGAAGTTTTCAATTTCATGAATGGGTTTTATCAGTGTGTGTGTATATATATATATATATATATATATAGAAAAATGGGTATACTTCGTAGGGTTGGGCCACCTCACTACCAAGCATAGAATTTTTAAAGAAAGTTTTTAAAGAATTATCCAATCCTTCATAGATGATTTGGCATAATCGCCATTTCTCAAAACCATGGTGATGACATTAGATAAAAAGATCCTTAAATTTGTCAAAATACTTTCAGAATGGCTCTCCTGGGACTATCTTAAAGTTTTGAATGTTGTTTCTAAGCTTAACCGTTTTATGAATAGGAAAAATTATCTTTAGAAAAATGGTGATAAATTCATCTTAAGTTGAGATATTATAGGTTACCTATACGACCATTTCGTGGTTTTGCCCTTAAGAGCAAATGAAATGAATCTAAGCTTAATTGTATCCTCAGATAGTTTCTTTATTTTAATCTTATGACAAACTTTCTCAAACTTGAAAATAAAGATGTAAGCGTCTTTGGTTTCATTTCCTAAAACATTTAGAAGTATATTTATGTAATACGGTCTAAGGTCAAAATTAGTTTCATTTACCTCGGGAAACTTAATGCAAAATGAGATTGCACTTCTAGTTAGGTAACACATATCTTAAAGAACGGGTGGATTAGCCATTTCGAAGGATGGTTCAACACGAATTAAACGATTGGTGATATTCCTAACCCAAATTTGAATACACCGAAATAAATTATTTTTATAATTTTTTAAAAAAAATTCTAAGAAAAACAAAACTTTGTTTTTTTAAGGAAAAAACTAAAAGATCTAGAAGATAATAAGAAGAAGAGGAAGGAAAAACTAACTAAAACAAATCAAAAGCAATCACTTTGTGTTAATCACTTTAAATTCTAAGGTTAAGCTTAGACTCAACTAGACCAGCTCCTAACCAAAAACTCCTTTAGTGAAAAGAGTAAAGTTTACTTGGTCAATTAGATAGGTAAGGATAGTACTAGAGGGAGATCAAAGATCAATTAAGTACCTCGTTCCTTACGAAGTGTTTTACGTAACTCCTAAACCTTACCTTAGATACCAACGAATTCAAGTAAACTTAAACCGATTCACTTAAAAATTTCTTATTCCTTAATAAGCTCGAGTCCTTAGAGGACAACATCTAATAAAGTTTTAAAAGGCTTGAATTTGTGTAGTGAAGAATTAGTAATTTGTGGGCTAAAGAAATGGTGATGAAGTCCCTCATCTTATCTTGATTAGGGAGTTTTTGCCCTTAAGAATATTTTTAAGTACGTGCCAAGTCAAGATGCTCAAATCACTTGGGTGAATTCCTACTAACTATATGTAATGCAGCCCTAGGAATTAAAAGCAACTACAAAAGGATGCAAAAAGAAAATCTTTTTATTTTTTAAATTAGGGTTAACAATCAAATAAATGTGAAGAATAGAGCTATTGTTTGAGATTATTATCTTGTTAGTAAATGTCCAAGTGGATGGTGAATTTTATTATGGTCGACAAAAATAAATTTTTTTAGATCCTAATTAT